GAACCTTTACTACAGATATTGTTTTAGAGGGAGAGTTCTTGCAGTTTGGAAATCGATGTATGTGACTCGTAGCAGGGAGTCAGCTCTTACGGCTTTAAAAGTGAAAGAAATACATATAAAGAGACCTGGGGTGTGTTGTCCGGCCAGGTGGGAAAACCCAAAGTCCATACCGCCACACTGGATGGTGGAGAGAAAAGCCAACCTATAACGATAGGCTAGGCACATTGTTGTTTAACATGGGGATGGAATGCCTTTTCAGACAATCATAGTGATGCATTTAGTTGTTCAGATAAAAATTCATGGCACACTTTCCAAAATGTTTCTTTAAGGTGGAAATAACCAACAACCTCCTCTCCCTATTTATAACGGAAATCCTAAGAGTAAGGATTTGGAGTCCCTGTTCAGGCCTCATCAGTAGACACACACAGCACACACACAGCACACACACAGCACACAGCACACAGCACACAGCACACAGCACACAGCACACAGCACACAGCACACAGCACACACACAGCACACAGCACAGCACACACAGCACACACACAGCACCATCTCCTCTCTGTGCAGTCTACCTCTGCCAGGTAACACACAGGAGTCTTGTGTTGAAAGGTGATATATAAATAAACTTGCCTTGCCTTGCCTTAAGACTCTCACACTAAAGGCCCGGACACACCAAGCCGATTTCGGCCGTCGATAGATGTCTGGCCGTCGATGAGCGTCCCGTCGCCCTACTCAGATTGGTGTGTCCCGCACCGCAGGGCTGTATCCAGGATTTGTTAAATACCGAGGTCCAAATATGTTAGGGGGGTTCGGGGGACACCCCCCGAGATTTTTGGGATTTTCATGATCTAGTTAGGTGCTTTTTAAGTACTGTGGGGGGTCACACATTGGATAATATATTGATTTCAAACCATGTCAGTGGGCTGACAATGTCAGCATCAATTATCTTTGAAAGTGTAATACATAAGAATCAGCTGATTGTTACTATTAATGATCTGGACATGCAGAAGAGGCTAAAATGATCACAAAACATTGTCAACATTCATTTTCCATGTCTCTCTCCTTTCCATAACCTGCACCCTCTCTTCCATCTTCTTTAGTCTCTCTGTCTTCTTCCTGCTCATTACTCTCTCTGTCCTCTACTCTTTCTCTGTGTCCAATCTCTCCCTCTTTGTTCACTTTTTGCTCCTCCTCACTAGTCGCTCCTGCCAGTGAATTAAAAGCAATTCAGCAATTTAATTCATTTCACTTGATGTTTGCATCCTTTTTGTCATTTAAATCTGTTTTGTTTGATTCTCAAAAGAGAAAAAAGATGTAAGCAAATTGTGTTTTATACAATTGTATGTTATTATGACATCATAACTGCAATAGATGTATGTTGTTTTACAGTTATGCCTATTGTAAATTAAGATTATATATATATATATATATAGCTAGATAGTTGGGGTTATTAAGCCTACATTATTTTGTGTGACTGTAGCTGCAGTTCCTCCCTGACTTCCATCACTTTCTCTCTCTCTTTCTCCATCCCACCATAAGCCAGTAAGTTTTCGTTGGTCTTCGGTCTTCGCACTATATGTTTGTATTTATTCGCACGCCAAAGGTAAAGGTGAGAGCCAGGGTAAGTGTCTGACAAAGGTGTAAGCTGAATAAGCTTTTTTGTACCAAACACCATACATGACCTTTTATATTATTTATGGGCAGACCACACTGGAAGAAGTGAGGCCAAAGCCGAAAGAGTCCCGGTACTAAGCCGATTCGACTTGTCCAGTTTTAAGTCTTAACCCTAAATAAAAACCGGCTGTCGGAAAGGCTTAAGTTGTGCCCACTTAGGCCGTCGCCCTTACCACAAGCCTGCCGGCCCCTTTTACTGATAGAGCCACACCCGTACCCGGTATAAAGTACTTCCAGTTGGCTCCCAGGCCCTGAGCCATAAAAAAGCTCGACACATATGGTTGACCACTTTATTAACGTGAATTGCCCCCAAGAAACAGTATGAGTAAATGACGCCTAACCCCGCCGACTATGTCATCGGAACAATTTCGTTGTCTTCTTCTGCCTGTTGTGGTTGGGTTGGGGTGGGCGTCGGGCCAACATGGCCTCGTCGCTCCTGCCACTACTCCATAAAGATCTTTAGACCAGGTCCCGCCTCGAGAACCCAAGACAAGAGTCCCTTAGGTATACCTGGTCGCCTGAAACAAGACCTGCGGAGAAACAATCAGTCACCCTGCCAGGCCTTGGTTGTACGTGTTTTAATATAACCCCGTCGATTATCCCCGACCTACTGAACCAAATTTAACGCAATTATTGTGACGAATCTCCATGGTCCCAATTAAGGGGTTAAGAGGTTAACGTCTTCCCTAATGGTAATTGTTGTGCAACATTACGAAAAAGAAGAAAAAGTAAAACTCATTGTTACCCCTATATTGAACATAACAAGAAAAATGGTGACCTGAGTCATTTACCTTTTCTATGCAGTCACCTTAAGTCGAAAACCATTCCCTTTCTTCCTTGTCCGTCTCTCTTTTTCTCTCTCTTTCCTACCTTCAGTCCCTCTTGACCGGTCCATGTCAAG